CATAAAACAATGTTTCACAAATTCCAGTACTGAAAGAGTCAACACTTCTGACCAGAGAAACCTAAATAAATTTACTAACTAGCTTGTCTGAAATACGCTTAAACACATCAAAGGTCTCGTCCTATTACATTATAAGACTTGGACGTATTTGTTAGAAATCATTAAAAGCTACAATTTTCAAACTCACACCATCAAGTAGATGGTATTTGGTCGATTCAAATCTCATAGAAATAAATTACACATGAAAGACACAATATATTAATATTGTGGCATGGTTATACCATCGAACACAATCACATGGAACCTTACATAAATGGATACTTTGGTTTCTAAGAGACGCATTCGACCAACCTCATGACAACTTTAAAAATACTGGACAAATAAATCCTTATTGTAATTACCTAAACCAAATTATTGCTGAAGTGGGTATATCATAGTGTAATGTGACTATATTTATTATCTATGGAAGCTTCAATAAATAAAATGTCTCTGAAGAACAGTTTCTATCACATATCATTACACATTGTAGCACCACGCGGTTAATAGACCCATCTATGTCTACACTTACCTCTATTCATTGTTGTATATGGAGATGTATAAAAATCAATACATCTGAAAAATAATTTAAGATTGGTATATAAAAAATTCTGTATAATTATGTTTAAAAATTAAATAAACTCTCTTATTGTTTTATGTCGTAAGCTATTGAAAATGTGTTTTGGCGTTTAATTTTTTTGTTTTAAATTAACACCTATTTATAAATATTACTTATTGACTGACAAAACTTCCTGCCTAGTGTACTTCTACCCGAAAATCAGTCTATCTACATTCCACCATCGTTGGCTAGATTTGAAAAGACTTAGCGCCCAATCCTTCCTCGATGCTTCCACATAAAATAATATCACATTCGTTTCGCATTCTGTAGAACTTTACTATCTACCCCCAATTTCACCCTATAGCTTGTCAATGTTTACATGTCGTGATATGACTCAGCCTCCGCGTTGGCTCGGGTCTCAAAACTTTCATCAAACGTCGGCAAACCAAGACACTTCAATTAACTAAACTAAGAAACCTTTCACTTGACCAATTTTATCGATATTTAAAACTTGGCTGCTACAGAATGGGTAATGTTAAACTAGTATTGGTTAATCGAAATAATGCTCTGTTGATTTTTAGGTGTTTAAATTATAATGTGTTATGACGTACGGTCTGTATATTTTATTTGATACTATATCCCTTCAGTCAGTAAAAATGATAAGACACACAATATTTAGTGGACGGATATAATATTTAAAACGTTTAAAAAATTGTTAAAATTGTGCGTCATGTAACACTGCAAGTTTTGACATTGCTTCAGACCAGACTACCAAACTTCTCGGGTCATTCTCTTAAATATCTACACTTACTTTGCCGTCGTTTTAACCTTCTTAGGTTGTTAATCTATAAAATAATAGTAGTACAATAAATAATGCCCGTTAAACTCACAGTCGACGAGAAAAATACAAGTAAGTATAAATAATAACATTCAGTAACGTGCTTATAGAAAATGAACGTATAGCCCACTTCGAATCTGTTCAGAAACAACATGCGATTAAACACAAATGTAACTGATAACTGGTATCAAAAATGTTTTCCTTAATTTTGTATAATGTAAGTGAACAGAGTGAAAGAATTGCTTAAATTCTAATTTATCACATTTGTCCTGGTTAGCACACACATATTTACAGAACGTTTGCTGTGCTTACTATACTTTAGAATCTGATTTAAAATTAAATGTTTTATATAATTGTAGAGTTAAAATGTATATTACAAGAACAGATATAAAGAATACCACACCAATTTTAACACTACGAGAATCCAAAATAATGAACCACTCGAAGTAAGCGCGACACTTTGGGATAAATGTACGAATGTTTTGTTAAAACTGGCCTCGAAGACACAAGTCCCAAAGACGGTTGTTACTTCGAGTGGTTAATGATCTTAAATGTATAAGACACTAAATTACGCCACAACATCAAGTAACTACCGCTGATATACTTATGAAACAGTCAACATCAATTTTGAATAATATATTTATTATAATTTGAAGTAATGGCAAAATATCTACATTATACACAATGTGAATGTATTAATTACATTGTTATCTTGTTACTGTCGTATAAACTCGTTCAGAGGGAATACAAAGACCGGCTGTGAAAGATTACAGTTCAAGACACACCGTAGCTACACGTTATAAAAATCCATATATTTTATATTTAAAAAGACTAGTCCCTATATTCGCTCTGATTGCAATTAGAGTATTTCGGTAGTAAAAATAAAAATTCAGAGTATTGCTTCTCGTTTATACTTATGTTTTCAACTACCTACCTTACTAATTATATCCCTCTGGCAAAGTCGTTATAATATTATAAAAATCTTTATTTTCGACTGTATCTTATATAACAATGAACAAATAAAAACATTAAAAAAAGTTAATATCATCAGCTAAAACCGGCTGGTGATAACAGTACTAACTAAATCAATAATATTCTATATTAAAACGTTTCGTTTAATATTTCCTGTACCTGAAATTTTCGTTGCATTGACTACTTATAAAATGTGGTAAAATGTAGTAAAACCTTATGGATACAAGTCTTGGAAATATTCGCCTGCCATTTTCAAGTTTTATCATTATGGAGATTAAAAAAAAATCACTTACGCTATATTTAATTGACAGTAAGTAGGTATTTCATTGTATGTTATATAAAAATATATAGAAAAATAAGTAACGGTCAATTCACAATAAAAATTACCGAGTAAATGTCTTTTTTAATCTTGCTAATTTCAAGTTGGTACTTGTTAATTAAACGTGTAATAATTGAATATTTACGGCATATGAAACCTCAATATTCCTTTGATCAAAATAAAAAATACTTTGTTACAAAGACTTTTTTAAGAAATAAACTAGTTATTTAAAAATAAAATCAGAGAAGTAGGAATATATATGAATTTTATGTTTATTATAAGTACTCGAAAGTAGTTTGATTATGAAACGCGGTTTACTGTAAAGTGACAATTAATCTTGTTTAAAGAATATGGACATGAATGATTTTAAATAATATGGACAGAAATGATATGTAGATTATAACCATACTTTGGGATTGAGCCGTATTATTTCGTAATGTTAAAAAAAAATGAAACTAAACATAGATATCACCTAAACTAAGTTTTATAATGGCAAACTGGCTACGTCCAGCTCTCTGACAAGATTTCCACTCCAACTTTAAAACATCTATGGTATTAAACATTGGGATTGTGCGTTGCCTTAAAAAACATAAATAGGGAAAAAAATGGAAATAGAAAACAATCGTAATCAGTAATCAACTGAAAACTTGCAGGCGAATAATTTCCAATCATAAAAATTCCATCAACAATATTATAATCTATATTTTAGGCTCGTTAAAGTCTGCGTCATTGTTTAACCAGTTTATACTGTGCGCAGGTGTATATCTGAAACACCATGTTTAAAACAAAATGTGTACAAACAATTAATTTATCTATTCAGCGGTTATTTTTATGAGGTACATATTTTGGCACAGAGAGATTTCTTAAAACTATAATTAATTTATAAGTAGGTATATTTACTTGTAAGATAACGTTATTTTTAAATTACATTAAACATTTTTTCGATGTTCTAAAACTTGTTTGACTGGTCTTAATCGTACGAATCACAGTTTTTGCATTCTCCTAATTACCTATCGTCACGGCTATCAATTTTCTAGTTCTTCAATGGAATGAGATATTAAAAAATCTAAATATACGTTGGCATGTAAATATATGGCAAAAGAACTATTGCTCAGCCTTCTTACAAACGCAATTGTGGTTGGTATTGCTACTTACTTGATGCTTATTGTGATGCCATTTTTAACATTTAAGGTAACGTAATGATTTGTTTGGTCAAATGTTTGTATTCATTTGTAGTTTACTCATTATCAGATTAAAAATTTCACTTAAATGGAACAATAGCAACACCTTACTGGAAAAGTAACACAAAAATGATTGCACAGCCAATAACCAAAGACAAGTTACTAAAATTTTATAAAATAAAAGATATTGGTATTGTAAATTTTCAAGCAATGAAAGCCCAGTAGAACCAACCTCCGTCTAATTTCTTTTTCATCTACGTTGTGTTGTCAGAAACTCTAGTATTTAAATTAGCTTCTGTGGACATTCGTGTTGTCCCAATGTCCCTATCAAGGATACGGTGATATACATACGAACATTATATAGAATATTGTAGATTTTTCTATTGTTACTTTTTAGGAACAAAATGCAGTTAAATTTGCAAGTGAAGTAGATACTACATTTTGGATTACTGCGAAACTATAAATATCTATTAATTAAGATAAGGTTCAATGTTGTAGTCACGTCTTCTAAGCAATTGCCACTAAATAGCCCGATCAGCTTTTACGGGCGTATGTTAACTGTTTGCAATGACAATGTTGGCAATGATTTAGTATCAGGATACTGGCTGACATTTGAATTGATTATATTTGTCATGGGAGATCTAATTTACTATTACTGTCATTGCATACTTTCACTGGTGTTTATCATTGGGCGTTGAAGTAGGTGAAAGCTTGATAACGGTCTAGAGGAAACAGATATTCGACGGAAGTGGCTTAAACCTTCACCAATGAGTATACGAGAGGGTAGCGTAACAAAACTAAGCGATGTACAACAATGTCTGCTGTAGATAATAAATACAAATAGTTTTTATTCACTATTTGGTACAAGTAATATAGAAAATTATTTCATAAATATGGATAAACCACTCCAAAACGAAAATATTCCTGTAAAAATCTAATTAAACCTGCTTATATTAATAACTATGATGTAAAGTTCAAAAACATTTTAAAAAATATTCCGATTTACTGTAATAATATGACTCGGTCATTAACTATAGAGGTACGCGAAGATCGAATAGAGGACGGTGCGATCGAGTAGGCCGCGGACGCCTCGGATCAGCGCGTGTTGTGCACGTGCGTGGTGAGGTGCTTGGAGAGGTAGTCGGCGCGCGCGAAGCACTTGCCGCACGCCTCGCAGTGGTAGGGCCGCTCGCCCGTGTGGATGCGCAGGTGGCGCGTCAGGTCGCTCTTGCCGCCGAACGCGCGCCCGCAGAACAGGCACACGAACGGCCGCTCGCCCGTGTGCTTGCGCACGTGCAGCTTCAGGTTCTCCTTCGAGCGCACGCACTTACCGCAGAACGGGCACGCGAATTTCCTCTCTTTGTCTCTCTGTCTCTCGTCGTTTTGCATAAAACCGAGAAGGCCCGAGTGGGCGCTGGAGCTTTCGTGTTTAACGCTGTCCGTGCGCGACTCGTTCTCCGAGCTATCCGCCATGGAGCTGATGCTGGCGAACGAAACGGGAATTCGCCTTCGTTCCTCAGAAGTCGTATCGTCATCTCTTTTGCTCTCGCTCTCGGCACCGGAAGTGCGGCATTCCACAGAATCGTCGACCGTGACGACAGAATCTGTGGGACCGTTGGAGTCGACGGTGCTATCTTGCTCGGCGTCTCGAATCACCTCAGAGGATGGAGATTTAATATTCTCAGCTCTATTTTTTCTCTTCATAGACAAATCCATCTCTCCACACTTGCCTATCAGAGCCTCGTTAGTGCTAGAAACTTGTTCCAAACCCTCCGGGGTGTCAGTATTTTTTGTATGAAGTCTTTCCAGCGTATGATTTAGGCGATGCTTCTTAAAAGATTTAAGGTATCGAAACTGCATACCGCAGACGTCGCAAGTGAAGAGTTTGTCGGCCGGGAGGCGCGCGCGGTGGTTTTGTTCGCGATGCTTGACGTATGCGGATCTATATCGGTAGCTTTGACCGCATTGCTCGCAGACGAAAGGTTTATCGTCACAGGGCGTCTGAGATGCGTGTTGCAAAGCGGCGTGGCGTTCGAGAAGCCACGTCGAAGGGAAGGAGGCGAGGCACACGCCGCAGCGGCGCCGCTCCGAGTGGAGCACGTGGCGGTTGTGGTACAGCATGCAGTCGTCGCTGAGGTAGCGGCGCAGGCGGCACGCCTGCAGCGCCAGCAGTGGCGACCACAGCGGCAGCGCGCTGGGCACGGTCGGCGTGCACGACATGTCCAGACACATCTGCAACGGTTAAGTAGACACCTTTATCACATGTTGGAGGGTTACGATAGTGTTTAACGCTTTGCATTTTACCTGGTCTTCCACGGAATAGCATCTGGGTGAATAAAAGAATAGTTCTGTAATGATTGTAGAGCTTTTATTTGTCAAAATTGTATTTTTACAGCTATGATATGCTTATATTTGTTTCAAGAGTTACAATGATCAACAGCTGGTTTTCTTGTTGCACAATTGACAAAACGTTACACCGCTTGATCTTTGATCCGTCCTGATATACGGTAACACTTTTTAACTTTCTCAACAAAACTGTACTGCTCTTTCTTACAACATTGTGAACTATTAATAATGTTACGACAAAACAGATTTCTCTCTAATCTAAAATATCAACAGTTTGTTAAATAAAACAGCTTAAAGAAAAACATGATCATTTCAGACGAGGAAACGATAACTATATATATCAAGCTCTATAAATAAAGTGGACCTACGTTATTTGAACTTGTGCTGAAAATATTTGATATCAGCATAATGTACGATATATATCGGAAAGAGACCACAAATGGAACCATCTAATATCTAGTCGTACATTATGCCAATAACAATATTAGTCACGAAAGTTTAAACCTAAATAATTTATAATAAACACATTACAATTATTAAAACAAATTGTACCAATATACAATAATTAATACACCTACAGGAACTTAGAAAAATTGCAATATAAGTTCTATATTTAGGTATGCCACTTAAAAATGGTTAGTTAATTTTTTAACTAACCAGTTTACACTTCAGCGACCTCTATCTCTATAGTTTTGGCTAAAACTTATCGACACTGTCTAGTGCGATACTAATTAAAAATATTGGTCATTAAAAAATTGTAGCACTACTTGTTGATAGTGCATTACATCAAAATTGGAATGCGCTAGGTACGGTCGCTCGCTGCCGAGATGCGATGCTGCTTACAGATGGAGCCAACAGAGAAGAGTGCGCAAGTCACATATCATAACGCAACTTACAATTTTCACCATAAAATTCCAGTTTTTTTCTCTCTATCTGCTACATATACTATGTATAATCCGTGATTTTGCAGCCTTTATATAAGTCTTGTATAGGCAAGAGGCACTCTAAATATAAAACTGTGGTCACAATTTTGGTTAATATAAAAATGAATCTACGTCATATCTATTTCAACATATGAAATATTTCGTGCTAGTGTTTTCTTAAAAGTTATCATGCTCTGTAGGTAGTTAGAAAATACCTACGAATATTTCAAATATATATATTACATATGTTAAAGTTCATTACATATACATATATATATGAATCATTCATTTATTTGTGCTAACGGCGTGAACTCTGCAGGGACGTGGCAACAACGGGTAAATGTTAAAATTTGAATAACTGCACTCGAGGGTAGTATAATCTATTGTTCGTGTATCTACTTTATATTTTACTAACAACACTCCTATATACACTTAAATACATAGATATATAAATCTATTTCAATATTATTATTTCAATAATAAATATTACCTCTGAAAGTTAGGAAATAAAATATTATTTTAAACTGCATTCTGTATTTATAAAACTCGTAGAAATTCGCATCATAATTAACCATTTATTTATTGCTATCAAGTATTTGTGTAAAGTGTAAATATTAATCTCTCTTAAAATAAGAAGAGGAACATTAATCAAGGTTTCGATATTGCTATACATGTTTGGTAACGTTCCACTCTGACAAAACAAAAACTAGTGCAGCTTTTCAAATAACAACATTCATGTGTTTTTTTTTTAGTTTTATTATATTTTAATTTTGAATTCTAACTCCGGAAAGTAGCGCATCTACCAATCTATTACCTAAAATGCAGTTATAATTATACTGTGTAATTTTTTTTAACAATAGACCAACATTAGTGTTGCTTTCTCACGTTAGGTTCCAAGTAAATTCGCTAAAACTTTACACAGGAGTGTACGAACTCGTTAACATTTAAATTTATGGATTGTAACAAATGTTTAAATTTACTTAGAACACGCTAGCAGGAAACAAAAACATTAAACAAAGATATTAACTTAAGGCAAATTTAAACATTTGCTGGTTTATGGAATGTCAATTATTTGTTAGCGATATATCGGATCACTTTAATCAATACAAATCCAGAATTATCTTAAACCACTTTGTAAAAATAAACAATGAGTAATACTCGGAAAACAATTATTAATATATCTAATGTTATATTTATTACGACGTGCGTTTGGAAGAGCGTCCTAAGAACACTACAACATCTCTATAGTATATTAATATATTATCGTGACAATCAATTTAACAAAACACACTAAGTCATGAATAAATTTGAAATGCTCCGGTACTCACGGCGATCACAACTCGGCTTAGAATTTTTTTTACATTAAAATAGATTACAATATTACCTAAATAGTATCGGTGGCATTTGTTATAAAATAAACCATGTTGTCGTTGGAATAATATCGGAATGTTAGGCGTTTGTAATCGAAATATACAAAGACAAATATGTAAGTAAGTACTTCAGTTATAAAAAACTAAACATGAAACAAAACAACTGAATGAAGGTCGTATTGGCCTAAATTTTATAAATGGCAATGACATCTGTCAAAATAAAAACTCTTTTGTGCCTAAATAATATGTTCGTACGTATTATATCATAAAATCAAAATCCATAAATACAGACTTAAGCATTTTACAATAAACAGTTTTTTTTTTTGTTTTTTGCGTGTTTTCCATTTTTGCGTGTTTATTTCTCATTGTTCTCATTCCTTTTTTTTTGTCAATTACCAGAGATACCTACTTTTGGTTTTAATTTAGTACCTTATATTTCGCCTATTAGAGTGAAAAATATTCTGAATTGAAATAGAAAGATAAATCAATGAAATAAACGGGCGAAAGATACCTAGCACACGAAAACAACCAATGAAATGTGACACTTGGTTGACAAGATGTCGGAAGGGAAGCGGCAATCGAAACTTTTGAATTTTAACTATAACAATCATATTTAAAAAAAAAACGGTAGACGTAATGACGCCGTGGTACCTTAAAATATAACATAACGATATAACCGTGTTGCTAAAAAAACTTAAGTATTTGAAATCACATTCTGAGATCGCAATTTAACTCCCAGATGTAATACCCTTATATGTATTAGACATACAATATATCACAGATCTTTTTTCTATATTACCATAATACTTTCTTTTGAGAAAACCCAAATTTATGAACCACTAAATATCTAATTTACATTTAAAAGATATTAAACGCCTAAATTCAATACGAAAAGTTACAAACAAAATTTTAAATCCTATTTTTAAATATAATGTAGTATTTTTAAATAAAGTGTATCTAAAGACACTTTTATTTGCTGAAATATTTAATATTATTTTTATACAAACATGATATGTCCGATGACCAAAGGATTATGAAATGATTAGGCAGCTCAGTCTAACACCTACAACAATTTCGTAAATCATTTTAATACTTTAAGATAATGATATTATTTCCTATAAGAATATGAGTATCATGCCCTCGCCTGAGAGTACCGTGCACACTTCAAACATATATAAGTATTTTTCAATTGAACTTACGGACTATATGTGCCAACACCCAATCAGTTCTAAATCAAAGCTTTAATTTTTCTCACTTGTGATGTTAATTAAAGTTTCCCAAAGAGAAACGAATAGTTACAAAGACGGAGCTTTTTCAATAAAAGCTAGGTCTATGTAACCAAAACAGAAATTTGGGGTGATGGAAAGTAATTAACTTCTTACGATTCATAAAATATCCCTGTATTTGACTCTGTTGAATTTATTGAACACAGCGACTATTAGAGGTTTTCAAACACGGTGCGCATCTCTAATGTACACACTCAAATTTTGGTACACATATGAAAGGGGCAACTCTTGAAATTGAAGTGGCAAACGACAGAACTTTTTTTTATATCGATAGTCGTTTTGTTATAGTTTTAGGTGACAAAACCTGATGAGACTTATTGAGTAATGACGTACACAGCGTTTGAAACCATCTAAATAATCATAAAACAATGTGGTTAGGCAGTATGAAAATAGTTAGAAAACTTTATATATACTAATATACATATTACGCCTCTGACCAACGGGGCCACCAGATTGCGGCAATTCGCAAACTCACTGAAATACCGTCCAAAATAAATGATTTTGCACGAACGGGTGGCGCGGAGAGCGAGAGACATACATACGATACATTCGGACAGAACAGAAACAATGCTTAAAGCTTTGATTCCCATAATCACACATCTACGACCCTCCCCATGTATACCGAATACAGAACTACCGAAGCGTTTATATTCTAATAAATTTCCTAAAAATCCGACATTACCAAACTATATGTTATTTACATTTATATGTCATAATATTGCTTTTGAATTACCTCAGGGGAGCGTGCGTCGTTAACTCTGAAAGACATAAAATTAGTAAAAATCTCAAATCCCTAACTCCTTAATTGATACCAACTATGTTGAGTGCAATTTATGATCTCTAATAATTAAAAACTAAAGCACTCATAATCAATCTTTAATTTTGTTTAATAAATGAACTCTGACACGATACTACAATAATAAATACGCAAGTATCTAAAGATTATGCCAGCCCTAATACAATATAATTTACAAATTCTTTATTTTTTTTATCATTCAATAACTGCAACAAAATCCGACAGGACACATATAAAAGAAGATGTACAAATGTACCTAAGTAAAGATAATTGGAAGAATTCCTTCCGTCTTATCAAGAAAATACGGATAAAATGAAATTATAATTGTCTAGCTAACTTTGGCTATGCCGTCTATGACCCATTGTTAGTTTTATTTTTATTATTAACTAAGTCATAAAAAGCACCTAAATTTAGAAACACGTCTAAGTTAGAATCACTCAAACTAAAGCAAAACAACTGAAAAAGCACTTCAATCAATGTTCAGAAGTATCAACTTTAGTGTCTCAATTATCTATTAGTGAAATATCAAATATTATTCATATCATTCAGATCACAGTTGCGGCGATTAAATCACATTCTTAACTAATTACAACATATTGTCCTCCATTTGTTCATTCAACTATCACTTATCGCTCACCATTGACTATTTTCAATAATAATTTACATTATTGGTTAATATATGTTCAAGGGTTAGTTGTGCCCTACCCAAGTCCATTACTCATTGATGCGGACTTTCTTCCTCCGTGTCAACAGGACTGGGTGAAAGAAATTTGCGTGCGTATTTTGGATAGTGAGTTTTTTCATGAGCTTTCAGAATAGTGGATCGGGAGAACGTCTTGCCGCAGAGTCCACAACGAAACGGTCGTTCACCTGCAATAAAATAAAACATTAAATGATGCTGCACTAATTCTATTAATATTAATTCTATTTGTGCAAAATTTTAATGATTTTTAAAATTAAGTTAAGAAAATTGTTCTCAATAAAGTTTATACAAAATTAATTATAATCAATATAAATGGTACACAATGTATCTGGGTAAAGCTTACCTGTATGAACTCTACAGTGATCTTTCATGTGGTGCCGTAACTTGAACGCCTTCCCACAGAATTCACATTTAAATGGTCTATCGCCCGTGTGAACTGGTAAATGGGTTATTAAAGAAGAAACGTCTGGAAAGCTCTTGCCACAAAACTTGCACAATACTACATTCCCAGGCTCAACAGGCCCTATGTCCAAATCAATAGGAGATTCTTCTGTGTGCATGGTCATATACATAGGGTCAGTAAACTGTCCTATCATTGGCAGACCCATTGGCCTACCAAGTATGGCATCACGGTACTTCAGTGTATCTAAAGTGTGCGTCGTCAATATATGCCTGGTCAGTTTGCTCTGATGTGGAAACGCCGCACCGCAGTGTATGCAAGGATAACCTCTCTCCCCTTCATCAATCCGTCCCCTACCGGACCCATCGTACTCCTGCAACCACAAAAAAGAACATCAACTTCTTTTTTCTTGTTCCATTTTTACACGGACCAAACTGTGTGCAATATCTCTACTACTACTTTCTAAATTGAGATGCAATCTCTTTATAGTTTCAATTTCCACTATCTAATTAAGAAGTTGACGCTCATTTTTGCCCAAAAATGTGCAGGAGTGACCCGGGAGCCGCCTACGCGTAATGCCTTGTTCATAAGCAACGCGCACGCGTACGGAGTTACAGATTTTTACTATAATGTATGCATGTATATGGCCAAAGTTTAAAATAATAATCTGCTCCAAATCAAAGAAAATTAATGAATATAATAATGATGGCCAACAAAATGAAGGTCAACTTCTTGACAGCAAGGCATATTAACCGATGTTCAAAGTAACGCAGCGCAATAAAACAAGCATGCGTGTAAAAACAATAATCACATAAAACACCAACTAAATTAAGTTTCATAAAATTACTTAAAATAATTATCTCACTTTGTCTTTGCCACCATTCGAATTAGTGGGTGTATATAATATATCGTTGACTTTATCACTAGTATAAAAAGTTATTAAATGAGTGAAAACTACAAGGCAGGCTCAATAATAAATCAATATTAAGCAAATGCCCTCTCAAGGCTTGTTTTATAATGTTTTGTTGTTTAATAATGAAACATGCAAGACAACATACATCCAAGCCCTTAATTATGCAAAAACATTTACTAAATCTTACTGAATACACATGCATACCACTAAATAAGCTTCATTCAAGAATATCATTTTATGAAATCAAAAAGTTTGACATTATTTAATGAAAAGATGTAAACAAAGTGTTAAGCATGTGGGGGTCACTCTTTGTGTTAATATTAATATAGTATTCTCTATAAGTATTATTACTTACAAAGAATATACTTTATTTATTTTTTTACTTTAAAGCTTTTGTGAAAAGCATTCACATTTATAAATAAAGATATAAATTATGTTTCCGTTACACATTCTATTTTATGGATCCCCATTTTAGAAATGATGGAGGCCTTTTAATGATAAAAGGGACTTTTATCATTATAAGGCTTTTTTTAATAAAGAAAAAAGGATTTACTCCTTATTAAAAAGCCCATGCCAGATTTACATGTAAGCCATATCAGATTTATGGCAAAGAAAGCATTAAGGTCCACCTTGATTATTAAAAAATTAATATTTACATTATTATTAAGATTATAATAATTTCATGTATGATCTGAATAGTAATAAAAGATGTTGTTGTAAAGGATGTCATATTTGTCTCAATTTCAAAAATACTTTTTATGCTACAAAATTAATAAAAAATTGATACAATTTAATTTTCTCTACTTCAGTTTCTAAGATGTCAAATATAAATTTACTACTTTCATCCTATTGTACAGCAAATACTTTATATTATGTTGTTATTTATCACTTAATTAGAATGTGCTAATAAAATTTTGAATCTCTACTTACAGATTCATGTTGCATTCTATATTCTGATGATGTCTCTCCACTCTTGTCTTCATTGCTCCTGTCCCAGTCCACCTCTTTCTTCAGTGACTGTAAATATTTGAAAAACTGCTAAGTCTGCTATGAATTCTGTTTTCAAATGCTTCAGTACTACCTATTACCTAAATACTCCATATTGGCATTCACTGATTATTACCTGTGCTTCACACTCTAAACATTTCAAAGGTGGTCCAAAGAAAGTTACAAAATTAGAATTTCTGTGTGAAAATGCATTTACTAAAGCAAAATCGGTCTAATTCCAGAAGTGAATTAATATGTCATGATGTCTAATCCTGTGCAACAACCCTAGACTTCAGATGCAGTTCTCACCTCACTCAAACTCATTGCTGCAGATTTCTTGTAATACTTAAAATCCTACCAGCCTAATCACACATTAAACAAGTCAACAACATAAACAATTCCCTAAGAATCGATGTTGTGCATAGTTTTAATCTCCATAAAATTTAAAAAGCTAATGCCTTGATGAAAATTATAGTATCCGCTTCTAGAATATTTTTGCTTATTCCGATTCCAATGCAAGTTTGCCCAGTTTTTATCATAGCTTTCATGTACCAACAACGATAGTCTTGTGCAGTAGCACCTAAAACAACATGGAAGGATGTTTGAATCCTTGCAAAAAGCCCCCTGTCACATCCAAATGTGGTTGGGCATCTCAATTTACATATGTGAGTAAGTGTCTATCCTTTATAAATGTGAATCTCACCCACGATTTTTTTATACCTAATGATTAAACTTACCAAGGGTACTTGTTGAACTGGAGGTAACCCAGAGGGCCCAGCTATTGGCTCCACTCCACTTCTGGGACTAGGCAATGATGGATGAGATGGATGCGTCAGTCCTGGGTGAGGTATTGCATTTAATACACTTATCCTTTGCTCTACTGGCGAATAGTGAGGGCCCAGAACACCACTACTGTGACTGTTTATCGTCATATTTAAACCTGAAATAATAAACAATTGTTATGAACAAGTCAATAGCACATTGTCACCATTATTGTAAAATTTAGAAAAATTATGTTAATAAGATGTGTCATTTTCATTTTACAAAGAGGTAATAACTTCTTACGTTTATACACATAATTTGACTTATTGTCTGTCTTATCAAATATCATGTAATAGCTCCCAAATACATAATCAAGGCATAACTTATACAAAACATTTCTTCAAAATATTCTGTCCAAAAGGAATTAAACATTTTTATGAGAAGTCTTAGTAGGTATTTATACTGATCAAACGTTTTTAGCAGGTATACAATTTAGATATTATTAACTTTTTAATCGGAATTAGAATTTCATAAGTTAATAGATTTGAGACGTGAAATAAAGTGATTAATATCACCATGAACATGCACCATAATATGTCAGAAAAATGTCACTGTCAAGTGTCAGGTCAGTGTTTTCGGTTCTGCCATATATTTATGAAGATTTCTTGTTTTGACTTGCAACATTTTACATGTTTTTAATTATAAAATTCATTTATTATACATTTCATTTCTTCTAAGAAAAAAAGTAGAATCAGGTAAAATGGAAAGCTGTTTCTATTATTCACTATTGCAGATATGGCACAACATTCTCAAATATGTGGAACACACATTTAATTTTTGTTGTCAGTTGTCACATTAAATTTTAAGCCTCCTCTAACATTGAGTTAAAACAACAGTAAGTATTATATCAATGTCCTCTAACCACTAGATTATAACGCGAAAGGGACACTTTCTAGATAATTAACTTATTTTAAAAAAGAGTTATGAATAATACTCTAATTAGATAGTAATTTTTAGTGAATGGAGTAAGCACTTACATTTTTTTTATTAGTGTAATGTGATATATTTAATCAACTACTTAGAACAATATGCTGTCGCAAACAAAGCATACTGTGTAAATTATTGAAAAAGTTTCTACGATTTCTGTCTTAGCTGTATTTAGCTGACCATCCAAAATATGTGAAGGGGAATTTCTTCATATCCCTAATTATAGAAAAACCAATTTTGCATTATTCCCATTTTCCTTTTTTATAGGCCTGTGACCATGCTAATAATTACTTAATCTAACTTTCGGATTAAAATTCGGCAATTTGAATTAGTGATTTCTGGGATTCAGGCACTTTCTATGTTAACAACAACAAACTGCTTTAGTTTGCCAGAATAAGATCGCAAAGCCTAATATCTAGTCATTAAATATGCAAGACTTCTGTTCTTTTTATGCAACCCAATGAAATGTGTCTGACATTCTTGTCAATGATATTAATAGATTATTAGATAATATAAAAATGTTTATTTGTTAAAAGAAAAACAGTTCTTCATGACATCATCATGTCATCGTTGTGTCATAAACCTTAAATCTGTAAAGTGACAATCTTTTGTCGATGTATCTTACTATCTTTATAATTATCTATCTATTATTATCTATTGTTATGCGTACAAAAACGTTCATTCCAAAAACAATCATTATCTGTATGTTTTCAATACGACAAACATTACTAGATCAGCGATGTTATTCATACCCCAGCTTTTAATATACCTATTTACATCTTTTTAAATAACATAACACATAAAACAAAAGCACATTAATAATAACTATGTATTAAAGACTCTATGGACTTTGACGTGTCTGTGTGTGCTGAATTTAGGCCAAAAAAAATTAAGTACAAAAGAAAAAAAAATTAGCCATTCATTTGTTTTTGTAATTACGAAAGTGGTGCATTTTTTTTGATGTTGTATATTTTATTCGGCTTGATATTGCTTTTGATAGGTACTGTTGAAATAATTAAACATTTACGTATGAACAAGTATAAAATATATTTTGCGTTGACTACCATGTATCAGTAACAATTACCTACCAATTATGACTGGTAAATACCTACTTCTTTCTTATAACTTATTTTAAGTTTATAGACGCTTGTCTGTGAAACGTGCGTATTTTTTGTTTTTACGCCTAAAATTTCGTTAAGATTGTAGCGAATTATTAATTTAATTTTTATTTAAATCCATGCGAGGATTGGGTAAATAAATTTAACTGTGGGTATATGTATAATCTGTGTATTAATATATCATAATCTCTTTTATCTTTCGTTTATACATATGCCTATACCTTTATTTTTTCTGTGCCGAACTCCCCTCCCGCCCACCAGTGGGTGGTTATGTCGGACTCGAACCGACCAAAAACCGCACGCCGTCTCCAGGTACCAGTAGCCGGGGAACCAGGTATACCCTAGAAAGGAAAGCCCTAGTACCCCGACGTACCTCAGGCCATTTACAGCTTATAGATGACCCCTCCTGCATGGGAACCCGGATGTTCCCGGATGCTCCGTAGCGCGTCGCGCCATTACCCACCCCGGCCTGCTTCTGCTAGAGTGACAGATGGCCTCACCTGTCACCCTCAGGCCTGCGCTTATGAAGGACGGAGGTCGCTATGCGACCTCTGGCGCCCGAGCCGTCTGCGGTACCAGGCCCGGTCTCGGGCCTGGCGAGCACATATGCCTATCACATCAACAGCCTATAGTAGTCCACTGCTGGACATAGGCCTCTCCTTAGAAAGGAGGTTTTGGCCTACTATACCACGCTGGCCAGACGGGTTGGTATAGGGTTTGTTTCAAGTTTTCCTTCGCTTTGCAATGCTGCTGTCCTGCTTAGTCTGCTCCCTTAGTCGGCTCTTACGACACCCACGGGATGAATAGGGGTGGTGACATTCCGTATTCTTAATCCGTCACCACACGGATGCCTATACCTAATAATAACATAAATTTTTAGAAAGATTATGTTAGGTATATATAAAATACCTTAATTGTACTTTATATATTAGATTGCTTTACTTAGGTGCACTTATACCTATGAATTTATTAAAGATGTGCGGTTTTACGAAACTAACGCTTCTTTTCATGAGATGTCAGTGCATCACACATGCGAGACCGGTGTCAGGTATCTCCGAAATAAAGTGCTAAGTTAAACCATACATCTTTGATAAATATAAATACCATCTACTAATGTAATTGTCGATTCTAAGGGATACTCACCAATGCTTTCATTTTGTGCGCCATTTGATCTTATAGATACAGTGTCTTCTTCTGGTGAAGATGAGCGCATATGTTCATCAGGAGGCTCGTCTTTTGGTATAGGAGGATGTGTTAGTATCGATGTTTCAGCCGCAGTTTCGGTTTTAAATCGCCGCACTGACAATAAGGGTGATATTCTAGGGGGTGACGCTTCGGGCATATCTCGTTGATCTCGAGGCTCTCTACATTCACGCAACTCCCTCGGATCTCGAGGGTCTCGCAGATCACGGGGAATATCTTTCAATTCCCTGTGTTCGCGTACTTCTCGTAAGTCCCTTAAATCGCGGGGATCTCTATTATCTCGAGTCTCTCGCAAATCACGAGATTCTCTTGGTTCTCTATCTCTGTGTTCACGTAAGTCTCTTGTTTCTCGGGAGTCTCTTATGTGACTCTCTCGACAGTCACGACTTTCTTTATTTTCCCTTTCACGGATTTCCCGTGTGTCTCTTAGTTCGCGCCGTTCTTCTTTTTCTCTGTGTTCCCTGCCGTCTAAATTTTCATGAGGTTCTGCACTATCTCTTGTTTCCTGAGGTTGGCACTCTTCCATTGATTCAGGAACCTTTCTTTTGTCAATACCGGCTGCACTTAGGGTAGTCATTTCCGCTAAGCCTTTGACCTTGAAATAAGAAATGGTTATATATCACAACGTTTCGAGTTTCTATTAATGCTTGATGAATAATTTGATAGGCTGTACTTGAAAGAAGTAATGGCCTCTGTATTTCAAAATATTAACTACCTAAGTAATTAGTTCTTGGTATTCTATGCAAATGTCCTTTGAAATAAAGACATTTGGTCAGACAGGAGTGAAAATATTGAATAGATATTTTCTCTCTCAGAAAAACCCTATAAAATTTTGCCCGGTCCGTGAATGGAACCCACTAAGGCAGCGTTTTTCAAATTCGAACGAAGTCGCGAGTACCAGCTAGTTCATAGTCAATTATGGAACTTATTCTGACCTATGGCGAGCATAAAAATAAGATGTTTTTAATAATAATACAACAGTAAATTACCTTGGGTTCAAATAGACAGGTATTACATATATTAATACTAATTCTAGTATTAACTATTGCTTTAGGTATGAGCCTGTCTTTACAATTAAAGTGTCTGTTTGTAATGTCAAAATAATAGGTTTTTTTTAGTCTCACACGGTTGTTTGCGCGATACCTATGCCTAAAAACCAGCTTAAATATTTTTATCTGTCTGTTTGTTCCGGGTAATCTTTAAAGCGACTGGACCGATTTTGATAATATTTTACTACCAGGTAGCTATCTCTATAAGGAGTAGCTAAGGCTATTTTATGGCTCAGAAAAACCCTAAAAAAATTTGCCCGGTCTGGGAATCGAACCTACTAAGGCAGCATTTTTCAAATTCCACGCTAACGATACTGCGAGCACTAACTAATTCATACTATTCATACTAATATTATAAATGCGAAAGTGTGTCTGTCTGTCTGTCTGTCTGTTACCTCTTCACGCTTAAACGGCTAAACCGATTCATATGAAATTTGGTATAGACACAGTTTGAGTCCCGGGAAAGGACATAGGATAGTTTTATCCCATAAATTATCCTTTAAGGGAGTGAAAAGAAAGGTTTTTATGGGGAACCACTAACCACTGAAACGATGGAGATGAAATGGAGAAAGTTGGATTCTCGATAAAGGACATAGGCCACTTTTACCCGCGTTAAAAAACTAGTATATAACATATTCATTCAAATTAATATACAAACCTGTCTAAATAATATTCAACCTTTGTTCCATGTATTACACTTCTTCAATATAATTTTATTTTTAACTAAAATAATTTAACCAAAAGTCTTTACTATTTAGTGACTGATTAATACGAACAATAGACGGTAAGAACATTCGGATTGTTAAAAAAACAGGAGGCTACTAATTTAAATCCAATAAATGTAGATATTTACAATTAAAATTAAGTTTTTATATTTTGGCACTGAATATTTTTAAATCTGCTCGTTCACCCACTATGATATAAAGAAATACATATTATTTGAAGTGAATAAAGGACGTTGAAAGACAACCTCTCTTCACCCTGATCAAAACAAGAAGTAATGCTTTGGATGGATTATGTGTCTTTTACATTCTTGACTTTAAATTTGACGTCAACTTTTCAACTAAATTAACAGTATTTGATTTACCTGAAGACTCTCGGCTGTTTTAAGGAGAGCGGGCAGTTGGCAGTACTGGACGTTGACTTCGCCCTTGTACATGAAGTCGACGAGAGTGCGCAATTCTTCTAGGCCTACGTCTTTGAGGATCACAATGGGATGGCGGGACGGGTGGTCCACGAACAGCGATCGGAAGTACGATGAGCACGCAGACAGCACTACCTGGAAACATAATGATAATGATTTTAATATAATTATGATTTAAAAAAATCTGTGTACACTAGAAATCTAAAAGATAAATGGATGATTGTGGCAATATTATGGAAAATTTAACGCTAACAATAAAGAAGTTGAAACAATTGTTGCTATCTAAAAGATACCTAATATCATTCCGTATACTACATAAAGTGATACAACTGATCCGTGTGGTGACGGATTAAGAATACAGAGTGTCACCACCCCTATTCATCCCGTGGGTATCGTAAGAGCCGACTAAGGGTGCAAACTGTGCAAAACAACAGCACTGCAAATCTTTTATGTCATGAGAACTTTTATTGTAGATCTTTATGGAGATAGCAAACACACTCTTCCCAAAGAGAGTAGTTCTATAGTGACAGGTAAGGTTATTATACGAGTGACTTATATTTCGCAATTTAAGCTTCAATGTAAACAGTGACGGATGTCTAATAAACAATGCCATTTCAAAAATATATAATGATGGCACAGTAACTTTAACGCTTTATGTAGCATCAACAATCATCATCAACAGCCCTTAACAGTCCACTGCTGGACATAGGCCTCTCCTTAAATTGTAGGTTTTGGCCTACTACACCACGCTGGCCAGACGTGTTGGTATAGGGTTTGTGTCAAGTTTTCCTTCTGTTTGCAGTGCTGTTGTCCTGCATAGTTTGCTCCCTTAGTAGGCTCTTACGACACCCACAGCATAAATAGGGGTGGTGACATTCCGTATTCTTAATCCGTCACCACACGAATATTTTTATTTTATTATTTAATCATTTGTATGCCCAAGTGGCTGATCATGGAATTAATATCATTAATAACTATGTAATGAACACGTGTATATAACCCACGTAGAACAAATAAACGATGTGATTTGCTTTAAAGTTTTATAATGCATTTTTGGAGTGTATTATATTTCTGCAATATTAAAAATTGTAACTTCAGAATTCAAGGAGGACTTCACATGGTCGGAGACGAGGTATTTAAATGTATCAAAATCTTGGGTAAAATCTATATAAAAGCAATAAAACCACTTTTTCTATTATGCAGATTTATAAAAAATATCTTTTGTAAAATATTTTTAAAGGTTATGGCAAGAACCTATTACAAAAACTTAAGAAAGTTTGATTTTGGCATAAATATGTATAATAATAATAATAATAATATAATATTCTACCACATACACACAACGCCATCTAGTCCCAAACTAAGCAGAGCTTGTACTATGGGTACTAGACAACTGATATAAATACATATATACTTTTTTTTTTGTAAATACATACATATTATACATAGAAACACCCAGACCAAATCAAACATCAAATGTTCAGGTACACAAATGTTTGACTTGAGCGGGAATCGAACCCGAATGTTTGTAGTATTGTTTCTTTTTTTAGGGTTACAAAGGCGACTGCCAATCGATTTTGGCAATTCACAGATTTAAGGTGTGAGAGCGGTAAATGTTTTTAGCTATAATACTAACTAATTTTTTCCAGTTAATACATACGTAAATAGATTCAGTATTTGGTTGTAGTTTTTTTTATTCACCTACTTAGTAACGCTGGATAACCATTAATCGCTACTGCAACTCAAGCATAGGACATTTAACGAGGAATAAACATGTACCTGATACATCGTTCGAGGTTTCGCTTAGATGTCAATTTCCACTCAGACAAATATTGAAGGTCAATTCTCTTCATAAAAAATCGATCAAATGCAGCTCCGATCTACTCTCGATAGCACAAATGTTGTAAGAGGTCATCATCAATCATCAGTCTTAGAAATACTCTACTACGAGAATATACCAGCTGACCTTGCAAACGTTGTTTTACTATTTACATTATTTAAATATTTTTTTTTGAATTTCTTAAAATCCGTTCTTAGCTGACCTCTACTCGGTGAAAAGAATATTCCTACCAAATTTCAAGTCTTTAGCTCTAATGGTTCCAGAGATATCGTGATGAGTGACTATATACGTGGAAATCTCTTATATATATACTAGCTGATCCGGCAAACGTTGTATTGCAACAAAAAAAAATTAGGGATGGGTCACCCTTACCATTCAAAATTGTGAATCTAAACCATTCCCAGATCCCCTTGAACACACACAAAAAATTTCATCAAAATCGGTCCAGTCGTTTGAGAGAAGTTCAGTGACATACACACTCACAGAATAATTATATATATAAAGATAGATGTGAGATCGACAATAGAATTATAATAAATTTTTGAACGATTTTTATTCCGAAAATTGACCTTTGGCATGTACGAATGTGTGCATTGGTCTGAGTACTTCTACCAGTTATGTACATTAGGAATCATTCTAAGTCTACAACGCAATCTGTAACTAGTTTAGGCATAGATAGTGCAGCATTACTTATTTTTGAATGCTAGATGGATAGATAATACTTCAGTTTTACACCAGAGTTTTACAGAAATTATAAAGTAATTAAACGAACAACAGATGTAATGTACAAAGCGCGGCCTTATCGCTTAGAGCGATTTCTTCCAGACAACCTTTGGATGGACTGGATTCATTTTGAACTGGTGATGGGTATATAGAAGTTCGAGTAATAAATAAGGTCCTAACCTATGAAATATATTACTATTGTCAATCTGACTGTGTATCAAAGACAATTATATAGATTAATAGCATAGTGCAACATTAGAATAACGAATTTCAATGTAACTACCTTATCGATACCGAAACCCTCAAGGGCTATTCGTAAGAGTGATAATACCAACATTATAAATACATTTTATCAAATTATTATAAATGTACAATCAATTATTGTAAAGCACTTTTAGAACAGAAATACATTTATTTCTATTTAACGATTTATGTGGATCTATAGCCTGTGCCTTACTTATCCTAGAATCCAAGATTCTACAAAAAATCATATCTAAGTGCAGACACGTTAAGTTTATTGATAAAACATATATTAGAGCTATAAGGAAAACTACAATACATTTTGTAAGGCCATATTCTCCTAGCTAGACTAGGTTACATGCAACCAATGATAGGTACCAGTACCCATCTTCTCGACATAGTATGCCGTGCTCTATTCATAAATAATGCGCTGCGTTCCAATTTATCTATGTGATTTATTTGATTAAGTTAATAAAACTAAACAGAGTAAAAAAGACAAACAAGAAAATTAAAAGTACACGTGTGTGTCTATGAGAGTGTGTAGTGGATATGTATGCGAGTGTTAAAATGTAGTTTAGAAAGTTTCAGTTTCCTCATAGTTCAGTATATAAACACATGGTACTGTGAGATAATTGCTGTTTATTAAAAAATAATTTAAATAAAATAAAAACTGCTGTATGTCACAATTGTTTCACAATGTAAAGCTGCAATGCCTGAGGCAACGCAGATGTTCCTAAACAATCGCAGAGAAACGTAAAAATATTATTTAAAACTGAAATTGTTACTAAAACAGGTTTTGTAGAGTTATGTTGAGGTTTATTATCATTTTTTTTTAACTTGTCATAAAGAATATAAAACTAACTTCATCTCTACATAATATGTATTAACGAGACTGTTATGTTGTTAGTGACCTTTACTGCTAAGCTGGGGGTCGTGGGTTGGATTTCCACCCAGGACAAATAATTGTGTAATGAGGACGATCATTTGTTATGTGTTTGGGTGTTATTTGTCCTTTAATACATATGTATGTATTTAGAAATATTTAACTTGTTTATCAGCTGTGTCTTTGCCATTGCACAAGCTCTGCCTAGTTTGGGATCAGACTGCCTTGAGCGAGTTGTGACAAATTACTTTGACGACCGGATGGCGTAGTGGTTTGTGTAACGGACTGCTATTCCAAAGGTCGTGGGTTCGACTCCCGCTCAAGTCAAACATTTGTGTGCATGAAGTTTTAATATTTGATTTGGTCTGGGTGTTTCTAGGTATAATATGTGTGTATTTACAAAAAAAAAGTATATATGTATTTATATCAGTCGTCTAGTACCCACAGTACAAGCTCTGCTTAGTATGGGGCTAAATGGCGTTCTGTGAATGTGGTAGATTTTTTTTTTTATTGTCTTTAAAAGTCGACTGCTGAACATAGGCCTCTCCTTAGAAAAAAGGTTTTGGCCTACTATACCAAGCTGGCCAGACGGGTTGGTACCTATAGGATTTGTTTCAAGTTCTTCTTCTATTACTTGGTAATAACAATGTCTTATCCTCTTCAACTCCGCCATATAGAGGTAACTCCAATCAACTTCTAAAAAGGAAGAGGTTCTCAACACGGTTGTATTTTTTAGGGTTCCGTATCCAAAATGGCAACAACGGAACCCTCTTAGTTTCGTCATGTCCGTCCGTCTGTCCACTCTATATCTAACATACTATTAGTTCTATAAACCTCCAATTTCGCACAAACACATATTAATCACGTCGCCAAAGTGGTAAAATAAAATCTTGAAAAGAATATTTCTTTAGGGTACCTTTTAGTAGCTTTAAAGTTGGGATGTTATTTTTTATATACATCTACCCCATGATGTTGGGTGGGTAGGTAGCCCTTCTGAAAATATTCAGGATTAGTAAAGATAATATTGTGATTAAGGTATCCGTTTGTGGGATATTAAGCCTTAAAGCGATGATTTTTGTTACAAGTGTCCCGCCGCCCCCCTTCTAGTCAAACGGCAGTATTTGTGATCTGAAAAAAATTGCGGTAGTAGCATATTTAACGAATTTAAAAGGAAAACTATCACAGCTAAGTAGACTTTATTAGTATACGAGTAATAGTTGGCAAACTAATCCGAGGTTATAAACCAACGAAACTGTTAATGGAACAAGTTATCGTCTGCGGTATTTCCGGCCCGATACGACTTTCAAACCTTTAAGAAAAGAGCGTACTCCCACAGGCGTTCATGGGCGGCGGTAGTCGCTTTTCATCATATGACCCGTCTGAGCTCGTATGCTCCCTCTTCCACAAAAATCAAGTTTATGATCTATACTAATATTATAAAGCTGAAGAGTTTGTTTGTTTGATTGTTTGTTTGTTTGTTTGAACGCGCTAATCTCAGGAACTACTGGTCCGATTTGAAAAATTCTTTCAGTGTTAGATAGCCCATTTAGCGAGTAAGGCTATAGACTATATATCATCACGCTAAGACCAATAGGAGCAGAGCACCAATGAAGAATGTTTCAAAAACGGAGAAAATTTATTACTATTGAGAGACGCAGACGAAGTTGCGCGGGTCAGCTAGTATGAAATAACAAAACACCCGTGTCTTATTTATGTTTCAGTTACGTATTAGTTTTGTGTTAGGCAACTATGGAACCCTACATTGGGCGTGCCTCGACATGCACTTGACCGGTTTTTTATCTCAGAATTCCGTCATTTATGCACCGATTTAGATTTTTTATTTGCGAGAATATAATTCCCGTTGGTCCTGCTCTGAAACTGTAATGGAATGAGGAAAAACCCACAAATTCCTAATAGCCCGTGGGTACATCTTTTAAAATAATGTAGGTAGCGATAGAAATGGTCATTAATAATGAAAATTTAAGGTAAAAACCTCAAACTTTTGCAGCTTATCAGAATAGGGATATCGAAAATAAAAGTATAGTTATTTTGTGTTCATTATAGCAAGTATACTATATTATGTTATTTCTGAGAGCCTATTATTATTATGTTAAGCCTTTTTGAAACTGTATTACTCGGTGTTACAAATAAATAATATAATTACAAACTGTAATATAAAATATAATTATGTAAATGTACCATAACATAACATAAATTGACATTGCCGGACCTCGTTTCGACCAGTTTCCACTGGCCGTTCGAATAGACTGAATATTCCCATAGATTTAGATACATCACACGAAAATTAAATAGTTAGTAATATAATACATAGGTGTAGAAATTTATGAATTAGATACGTTGTATATCATCAATCATCATCAACAGCCTTTAATAGTCCACTGCTGGACATAGGCCTCTTAGAAATATATATAAAGTTGTATATAAAATTAAAAAATACAAAAATATAATTATATGTATGTACAATACGTAACCTAAAAAAGCTTTGGGTATTTTGTGATTCATTGTGACAATCATATACACATTAAACGTAAATGCACTGATTAATTACCTTCAGTTTCTGAAAAAATTAATGTGCATATATTGAAATAAATACGTGTTTAAAACCGAAACTATGAAGTATTAACGTGAAACTTTTTAATTTTATAAACTTTAATTACATTCATTTATAAAGTGGCTGCGAAGACCAACCAAATTCATTACGTCATTAACCGATAAACAAGCTGATAACTATCAGTCGGTATCATAACGTTACTTAAATATGCATCTACTTACATTAATCTATGGTTAGTAACGTCATGAAACTTATTTAGCACAGAGTTTACATGGGCAATTTTAAGGATAACTTAACATTTTTTTTACAATTTTTTTTTCTTTTAAAATAATGCCCAATTGTTGAATAATAAGTTACCAAAATTTATCAACATTCCTTTTTCTAATTTATAGAATTCAAAGCATATAAACAATACCAACGTTTAATTTATTTTTAATCATTCGAAATGCAACGCTACATAAAATTAACTATCATATAATGCTGAAAAGAAAAATCTGCAAACTAATAATCGTGTCTTTTTAAAACCAAAACATTTTAAATAATCTATCATAACGCTTTCATCAAATGCCAATTAATTATCTACAAGAAAGTGTCGCACTAGAATACCTAAGTTGAAATAGATTTGTATTTTGTTGAAATACACATCAATATAATTTTAAAGAAAAATAAATAAATAAATTTCAATTAAAATGTTTGAACGTTACATTTACTACATACGGAAGATAATGCAATGCATTCAGGGTATTGTATTATTATTGCTTTTGGCACTGCAACGGTTATTAATATATATTTATGTTTCAAAACTAACATAAATATGTAAAATGTATAATTCCATGGAACTATTTTAAAACACTTGGCTCTGGCTCAGATCTAACAATCTTGTCAAAGTTACGGAGGGGTATTTCATTTTTCATTCTGAGTAATTTTGTCCTACAATGATAAATTATTAATAAAACATTAGGTTAGAGGGTTTGGCTATCCGGCAGGTCGCAGTCTCCGAGATTAGGTTCGCATACCCTGAGCTGTTCGAGGTATTGCTAGCAGTACTCAAATCATCCGTAAAAGCCATTTCACTTCCCTGTCATTGTGACTTCTCCTTTCATAACGATTGCAATTTAATTCGTGAACTGTCCCGTCGAGGTAAATAGGCTTGTCTCCTTTACATAAGTAAGGACTAAAATGACAGACGTCAAACAGTTGGCATGTGCCTATCCTTCGAGGATATAGGCGTTACTGTATTCAATGTATAAGAAAAACATTAAATAAAATAGATTTTTACAGTTATTCGTATTCTAAAACATATAGCGGTCAGACTATATGATAATGCCGTCCACTTCCGAACGAAGGTCGCCCCAAAGAGCGCCAAAAAAGAAAATAACTTAGCAATAAATGGACTAGAAAAATTTAAATTAAAATATTCGTAAAATACATATCAGTGACGTAAGTCGGTAATGGAAGGATATAGCGAATATTATTCCCAATAAAATTATTCTTTAAGAAAAAAAAAGAATTAAAGAGAGCAATTTTAACTTATGTTAAGGAAATTTATTAAAACCTAAGTTAAGAAAAACATTAACAAGCCATGTAAAATAATTCAAAGATCCAAAACACAGCTTTCCATATTTATTTTCTCCTAATGTAATCGGGGGACTCTACGGAATGTACACTGTTTGCGGAAACCGGTAACGAACTGTTCAATGACTCTTTATTTGATTTGTTCAATTACTTTTGATTTAAGCAAATACATATTAAAGATTTGCATAAATATGTCTCCATTTTCTCAGAAGCAACCGCTTGTACACAAGACTTAAAAATAATAAATTTCTTATTTGACATATTTATAACTCGTAGATGACATCTTCAGTACCTTTAATGGAAATAAACAGGAAGTAGTCCTATAGGTATTTACAAAATCTCAACTCTATTCACGCCAAGATGAGGTTCACTTATAAAGAAGAGATAGATAGATCGTTATCGTTCTTAGATGTCACAGTAACCGTGACATCAGATGGTCCTTGCTACTTTGTGTACCGCAGGCCTACTTCTACTGATAAATATCTACACGGTATCGTATAATTATCGCACACACTTGCAATTTGTTACGACTATACCAAAGATAGTTTGCGATCTGTGTAACCCTGAACATTTATCTTAATATCTAGATAACGTTTAGCAGGTTCTCAAATGTAGAACTTCTTTAAACAGAGGCTGTCTTAATATCTGTTCTTCGTAATGTCCTACCTGTAAACCACAACACCCATACAACTTACTTAGAAAACCTAGTAGGTACTGTAATATGAGATCTCTTACAACTTTTTAACTTTCTGCCACGTATTCATTGATTATAGGAGATATCCACCACCTTTTTCTTTTGCTTTTAGACAGGATTCAGATTCTTACCTTCACTGCTTTCATCACCTTTAAGACACTAATCCTACGTCGACGGCCAGATCTCTTTTTGTCACTAATAGAGCACATTTCTCTATAAGTAATCTATCAATAGCCGGAATACGAGATTGGCGTTACAAGATTATAAAACACAATGAATATTAATTCTTCTTCAAATGCAATGTTACGGTTATTTATTGTTTTCTTTACTCAAAAGGAGAAATGGAACCCTAATGTAGATACTTCGTTATTCGTCTGTCTACTTGTTTCTAAATCCCATTTCCCAGAAACTAGTGAACATGTGAAGAGTTCAAATTAATATTAAAAACTTTTTATGTGAGGTCCCTTGAATCTAATAACATGAAATCGATGTAGTCAAAACATATACGGCTATTAAAGCCTTATATTTGACTCAATATTTGCACTTTGCAGACAAATAAAAAATATATAAGGTACTTCCCATGGACCTAGAATGATAAATAAGATGGCTTGAAGTAATATTTTATTACATAAGTAAAGGAAAAACCCGAAATTTACTAATTTGTTGTCTTATAACAAAAAAAAACTTTTTGCGATTAAGTACTTACACTTTTAGTTTGGAAAATTTACTGTAACATATTATTAATGTAGATCATATGTAGAATGTAGAAGACTTTTTAGAACGATATTTTAAATAAAATGAATTAAAATATTAATGTACATTTTTGTGCGGAACCTTAGGTGCAGTAATAGATTCGCACTGAACCTGTTTCCTTAATGTTTTTTTATTTAATGACATTAGGAAATTTATGGCTAGACTACATAAATTCATCGGGTAATGATCTACAATTACGAGTACTAGTTTAAGCTGTAATTATCTGATTATTGTTAAAGCGGAATCCATAAATGAATTTAATAATTGTCTTAAATATTCTTTAAAAATATGTATTACTTAAAGTACTTATTTATTTTAAAACAAAATTTTAGGTAGGTACACCTATTATTTTTTTAATTTTAAAATTGAAGTGTCTGTTTGTAATGTCAAAATAATAGGTTTTTTTAATGCTTACACGGTTATTTGCATGACACCTATGCCTAAAAACCAGTTTAATTTTTTTGTCAGTCTGACTGTTCCGGGTTATCTTTAAACGGCTGGACAAGTTTTTATAATATTTTACTAACAGGTAGCTGTCTATATGATAAGTAACTTATATTATTATTTCCTCTATTATTTTTCTCCCCTCTCTGCTATTTTTCCTCTCAGAAAAAACATTTAAAATTTTGTCCGGTCCGGGAATCGAACCCCCTAAGGCAGGGCTTTTCAAATTCTACGCTAACGAAGTCGCGAGTACCAGCTAGTCTCTTAAAAATTGGAAAAACAACAAAATTAAACATCCCACTGATACATATATGTGATACTATCTAGTTGTGTGTGCAATCCATAATTTCATTTTTTTCTGTTGATATAATGTGAACAAAATAGGTACAATTTACCTTATGAGCTCTAATTGATGCACCATCGGAACAGGCGAGCGTGACGTCAACCAGACTCTCGTCGTGTAGCAACTGGCTGAATACTCCCAACAGGTTGCTCTGATGATTGTTCCACCTTAGGCAATAGTGCTCACTTCCCATGTCTGAGCTAGCTCCCGCCGCTGTCAAGGACACAATGAATAAACATTTAATGATATGATCATTTCGATAGCCTACTGCTGTTGTTGTACTAAACATCCTATTCTTTTTATTGTCGTATCTTTACTTGTTAAAAGAAAACTATAAAAACAAATTAGTATAATTTTTCACTAATAGAACTATAATTTTACAGTTCGGTTTAATTTAGCGTCTGTTGGATCCTAGAACTTTATTTTTAACTGTCTTTATGTTCATTGTTAAAGGTAGCATTTATTTTTTCAAGCTATAAAATAATGCTGGTTTGTATTCTTGTGAGTTCGTGCATTTTAGTAAAATTTGGAAAATTGTCTTTTTTAAGAATATCGCAAAATGAGTTTCAAAAATAATTTTTATAACTGAGGAATAGATTACAAAATTAGGATTCAAAGGAGAAGATTAGTAAAGTGCAGCTTTTCTCTATTAATATTTAAATTTAAAACAAGGGTAGTAAGTAATTAATGTATATCGTCAGAGTTCCTTCAGGCTTCCGTCTCATGATCAGATCAACTACGATTCTTCGTCTTAATCTAATGTCATCAGAACTAACGTGATGTGGTGAGTCGAAACAAAATCGGTTGATAGTGAGTGAACAATTCATCATCATCATCATCATCATCAACAGCCTTCAATAGTACACTGCTGGACATAGGCCTCTCCTTAGAGAAGAGGTTTTAGCCTACTATACCATGCTGGCCAAACGAGTTGGTATAGGGTTTGTTTAAAGTTTTCCTTCTCTTTGCAGTGCTGTTGTCCTACCTATTTTGCTCCCTTAGTCGGCTCTTACGACACTCACGGGATGAATACCACCACACGGACAACAACTGAACATTTATTCATTCCCTATTTTTCTTGCGTGTTTGTTAAATTTGTTTTTGTAAATGTACCTCAACTGTAACTAACTTCAAAGTAATTGAATTTTAAACCTCCACCTATACATTAATTAAAGAATTTAGTAATGATTGTCTAAGTGTTAATGAGTTGGTATACTCTTTCCAGATAATACACGAACATGTATTCCTATTACTACAAAACAATCATCGTGGTCAAGGAAATTTATTAGTTGTCGTAAACCAAACGGGTAGTTTGTATTACTTCGTTCAAGTTTCTTACGATGCTTTTCATAATGGGACGAGTAGAAGAAAAATACCTTAAGCGGTTATAGTTTTTATTGTTCCTTACATATTGTAAAAAATATATGTTAGTGTTTACGGCAATGTCGGTAACTGTGTTGTTAATAGCATTGTATTATAAAACAAGGTTTTACATACCATTACAGGATCTATAAATATGTCGTGAAGTTATTACAACACGCAGCGTTTAACAGAATCGGCTTTCACATGTGAAATTACGTCTGCAATACCCGTTTTCAATTTTAAAATCAATTTACTAGAGGAGACACTCATAATTTATTTTCTATTATCAATTAATAATGCTGGTATTAAATTAATTTCTACAGCCATATATATGTATTAGGTAAATATAAATTAAAAATGTTTTTTTTAATAAGTTTGTTAATTTATGTGTATCTATGCGATATGCATAGTGAAGTACAAACAAATTAGTCAGAGGTACAGAAAGGTATCTAGATTAGATAAGTTTAAAAAAAAATTGCTGTTTTCTATGGCTACCGAAATCGGATGAGAAATCTACGTTCCAATTTACATTCTTTTTTTTATTAATATACCCTGTGTATTTTTTTTGACCCTGCCAACATGTGTGCTAAATTATACATTGATTAATTAAGTAGACAGGACTTGAAGGTGTAATAAACAAAAAATAAAGAGTAAAATCTAATATTATGATCGAAAGGGATATGTTTCGTATTAAAAATAGGTATTGGTTAGGAAAAACCCTCTATCACTGTATTCTTTTAATGCCCAGTGTGTCCAATGTTTATGTATAATAATGTATTTGCAGCCAATTAGTGATTGACATGATAAATGTTTTTTTTTTTGTTAAACTTATGTAAGCATAACATTAATTAAATAAATTGTGCTATCTGGAACGTCTTTCTGAAGTGCACTATATTGTTCACACAAATACTGTTGATGTTCTGTACTTAGATAGCTATAACTAATAATAAATAATAACAACAAAATTAAAAGATGGTATTTACTTCTGTGGCAGCGATGTATACAAAAATGGATATTAGTAACGCCTTTTTAGATCTGATTACACACTGATTGAACAAAGCATTTTAAGGATAAATGACTTATCATCTTCTTTGGTTGGCTCTATTTATTAAATAGGTCATATTTAGTTTCTTGTACATTCATGAACACACCACGACAATGACAATCAAATCCGCGTTACTTTTAAGGTAAAGTACTTTTTATTTATTATTCGTAGGTACTTAGATTTTTACTAACCCGGATGGGATTTTTCCAACAAATTCTTATCAGCAGATGTGAGTCAGCAGCTAGCTAATATTATACTTTTACAACAATTACATAAAATGGTCTAGTGCATAAGACTTAAAATAAAATGAATTTTTGTGACGCACCCAACACGCTAATTACAGCATTTACGTACAACACGATCAACAGCCGGAACCGTCAGATTTGCTAATAAGTACAAAACGCCACTTCAGTATAATTTTTTATTCTCTGATTACCGCTTCGCGCCTACATGCGCGAAGATAAATATAGCTGCGAGTGTACCTACTATTTGAACGTAGGTGTTGTGCGCACACGCGTGCGGCCGCGACGCAGTCAAGATCAAGGGCGTACGATTGCGCAAGAGTTGGCGGTCGCACCGCACTGCAACTCAGTGTGATGTCATCGGGCGTCTGCGTCCCCCCACCTCTCCGATCTCGTATCACACGCTTGTTTGCAAAGGCCGCGAACGCGGAATATTCTATTTTTAAATTTTCATTAAAAATCAACTTATTGATTTTCAATAATTAATATTGACTATCTATATAATTTATAGAACGCCAGTTAGATTTCCTTGCAATCCAATGTAAGAATTCCAGAGTTTCTTTTGTAAGTTATCATAACGTACTTTAATCACGATATCAAGATTATTTATCAAATATGATATAGGTAGAAACTTGATGTTCTTCTAAAAATGCAGCTGATAGAAAAATGCATAGTACCTACCTACCAACGATAGTAATAAATAAAATAATATGCGACCCTGACTTCCATTACTACCACCAATAGAGTAAATATAACGTAACGTTAAAATTCCTACAAACATCCACAACGTAAATTCTATTTGGATTGTCAACATAAAAGGTTACTGTGCATTATCAGTACTATCAGAGTTTTTATAAGCTGACAATATTTGCAACATCAGATTAGGAACAGTTAGATTAGGCATTTATAAATATCATAAAAACATATAGATAAACATGCAGAACTAAGTGAAGAAGCTATACCTCAAAGTTATAAAAACAATGATATTCTTGTACCCATTGCTAATAATATATTCACCCGTGCCAACTTATGAGATTGTTTTGCTATTAGGTTTGTTAGTATGTTTAAAATCTTTTTTGCAGTTAAGCTTAGGTTTGGAAACATTAATGTTAGTCTAAATCATTAATATACAAAAAGCAGGACTAATAGAAGAGATTAATAGAACAAAGTTGGATTAACAGAAATAAAACCTTAGTAGATTTGACTCTATTATTTGAAATTAATAGTGACGTTTGTGAAACTAGCTGTTGGTGCTGTGCGACCTTCACTGCACAATAGTGTAGCAAAACGCGCTTAAGAAGTAAACACACTGACGGAGATTGACATAAATAGATTTAACATACTCGTAAGTGTAATCCAAAATAATTAACACAGGTGACATTTATTTTATATTTATAATTGGCTATACCCTGTCACGGTTTGATGTGGCACATTATGGTTCCAAGTAACAGATAAAAATTTGAAGCGATTTGTATATCCTGTCAAAAAATTTAAGCCCAATCGGTGCAGAACTTTTTGAGTTTTTGAAGCGTACGCAAACCAACAATATTTTTAGATATACATATTGTAGAAGGTTACACATGTGTGTTCACCTATGTATTTCGGCGATGCCTAACTGGTTTCGAATCCGACGGGGTACCCTCGACGGTTGAAGTGATTTTCCGCGTCGGTGTCGTTGCCGTCATGTCGGTCCCCCATCGAGTCCGAAAGTAGTCAGGCATCCCCGAAATACACATGTGAGGAAAGCTTTTTATAGTTTATAGAGATTAATAAATAGGATATAATAGTACCTATCTAACAGTTTTTTTGATTAGAAATCAATAAATGTTTCAATGACGAACAGTAAGACATTACGTCGATAGTGTGTTTTGCAACTGTTGTTTGAGGTAATTTTAAAGATCAAGTTTTTAAACATGTAAATCGCAACAACCGTACAGTAAACAAATAATATTTGTAAGTAGGTAGTAGTCGATCGAACTTTGGATCGTGTTTACAAAATAATATACTTATTTCGAAGTTATAAAAGCAAATTCGATAGTAAATTATTCTTGAAGTAAGTAAAATTGCATTCTTCTTTAGTTAAATGAAGATTTGTATGCTCCTATAATAATATTAGAAAGAATCTCATTGAAATCGTTTTTGTAAAATTAGTTAAACCTAACCTTGAATCAGATTTAAGTTTACTGTACATCATCATCATCAACAGCCTTTAAAAGTCCATTGCTGGACAGAAGCCTCTTCTTAGGAAATAATTTTGAGCCTACTATGCCACGCTGGCCAGACAGGTTGGTAAACAAACCTTTTGTTTCAAGTTTTTCTTGCCTTTGCAGTGATGTGGTTCTACGTAGTTTACTCCCTTAGTCGCCTCAGGTACTATACAATTTTTGATTTTTGAACATAGGTTACAAAAGGTGTTACATTTTTGATAAATTACAAATCTCTCTATGTAGTTCCAGAACGGTAGTACTTATAAAACATGCAGTTACAGGCAAATAATAATTAGTGCAAAATTTAAATATCAACAGATACTTATTAAAGAAAAAAGTTACTAATATTAATTTTAATTAAGTTTGTCAATATCGCAACACATTTTACTGTATAATAGGTTTATTTTATTAAAAACTAGCTGAGACCCGCGGTGTTACCCGCGTTTGTTGTTATAACCGCGGGGAACGCCGCGGGGCAAAGCTAGTCTAAAAAAAGTAGCCTAAGTTACTCCTTATGTCATCAGCTATCTGCCAGTGAAAGTCCCGTCGAAATCGGTCCAGCCGTTCCAGAGATTACCCGGAACAAACAGACAGACAAAAATTGTAAAAAATGTTATTTTGGCATATGTACCGTGTAAACATACATATGCATTTATTAAAGAGCGGTTAATTTCATATTACAAACATACACTCCAAATTTATTTATTTGTATAGAAAATTGTTTTTTTTTTTTAAACATTGATAGATTATTTTCAAACTCAACAAATTTTAATAAAATTTTGTCAAAAACACTCTTTTGGTATTATGGATGTAAATTAAATATTTATGTTGATTCTGTCGATGTATATATACACACGCTTCTATGTAGCGGTCGCAACAAGCTGCTCTATGATAATGTAAACGTGTATTAGGTGCCTTTTATACCTACCTAATACAGCATCCATTTTGTACAATGCGTTTCATCATACACGGACATAGAGACGAGGACAGATGTAGGGTTGTCATCCATAATATTATATGTTCGAATTCTTAAAATATATGCAGCTCATTATAATATTTTTATGCCATTTTTATAACAACTGTTCTTAGAACACACATACAACCCAGCATTTTGGTAATTACAATCTTAAATACCTTCGTTTCCCGTGTTTTGCCAGATTACTATATTTTTATAAATTTTTGAATTAGATTTTATTTTCAAACGTATACGTAAACTTCAACTAACGTATCGTATCAATTGTAAAGTAAGTTTTTGTAAACCAAAGAATAAGAAATTAAATTGCTTTTATTAATATGCCTATTTTAGAGTCAATACGATTAGGTACTTAATACTTAATAAGCTACGTATAGGTATACGTACGAAGTAAGGGCATTCAAATTAATGTATGTATTTATTTACTGAATATATAATTCCCACAAGATAATTTATCACGTAATGCTCTTGATAAAAAAGTCAACATTCGTTTGAAAATAATAGTTGTGTTCGGTTACCGTCCATAAAGATGATGTAACGGAGTCCTGAAACTGCAACGTGTGGCAGTGGCCTTACATAACACGCGCGGATAAGCGGGTGATGCGTGGGGATCAAGGTCGCGCGAAATAACGCATAGGACCGTTGCACGACGCGCGACGTGTCGGCGCGGCCGCATATAACTCTGCCGGTCTGCCCCGTCTACACCTTCGGAGTCAGCCTCTGATTGCTTAGTAACTGCCTTCGCGTCGAGAAGTGTGCTCGCGCCAGCCATATGCCACATTCAACTCAAAGTATAATTATTGTAAATACTAACATAATATCAATTTGTAGGTATATCTTACACGATATCCTTCAAGTACTGTATCTAACATTATAACTTTTACAATTAAAATCGGCATCAACTGTACCAATTTTTTAAACAAAACAGCAATTTTCTCTTAGTTCTACTGGTCGTAAATAGAAACAGTTACTGAATTTAAATTGAGTCCTTTCATCATCGTCTCTACAGGGCATTGGCATCGGAGTCACGGGTAATGGTTGTCTAATAAAAATTAAAGCGTTTTTTTAATCGATTTACCAAATTAAATTTTAGGTGTTATTAGGTTAAGTTATTAGGTGTGAGATTCGAGAATTAATCGCGATAACAATTACAAGGCGCTAATTTACTCAGGTACCCGAAGTTCCAACCGAAATGTGCAGATCGCTTAAAAAAGCTAAATTTTAATTTTTTTTTGTTAATATTTATCTCAATTATTTATGCCACGGGCCGTTTATGCACAGATTAGATACTATTACTGAAATAGGTTTCTTTTCTTTATTTTAGCATTTAACTAACTAAAAATAAATACACCCTTTCCATATTTACTTTACTACTAATTACTATTAGTGTACTCGTATAGTATAAAAGTTTCGCAAATTAAATCATCTTATGTTAAATAGTCCGTGTGGTGACGGATTAAGAATACGGAATGTCATCACCCCTAATCAACTCGCGGGTGTCGTAAGAGCCGACTAAGGGAACAAACTGCACTGCAAAAAGAAGGAAAACTTGAAACAAACCCTATGCTATACCCGTCTGCTCGTGTGCTCCCTCTAACATAAAAACATAAACATGAAAAGACACCGGACACACAAACAAGCATTGCATAGAGAAGGAAAACTTGACACAGGTTTGTGTCAAGTTTTCCTTTGATGGAAAGTTATAATTATCTCATAAAGCAATAAATTAAAAATAATTTCTCTTAACTTTTAGTAAACTTTAGAAAATTAAGCAACAGGTATCTTAGAAGTGCGGCGAATTTTGATGATGTCTATTAAAATCTTGAATGGTTTCAGAACATATGATATGACATAGACCTTTTTAGAAAGTAGGAAAGAAACACCAAGGCGTTACTGATAATACACATTATTGCTAGTAAATACAATGATAATAATAATAAATAGACTAGGCTGAGCCTGTACTATGATTGGCAGACTTTTATGTTTCTAAATACAGACATCTTTACAAATAAATAAAATTTAAGTGTCAAATAATAGGTTATTTTCATGATCACACGGTTATTTGCACGATACCTATGCCTAAAATTTTTTTTTGTTATCTGTCTGTCTGTTTGTTCCGGATAATCTTTAAAACCTGTCTATATACGGAGTAACTTAGGCTATTTTTCCTCTCAGGAAAATCCTTTAAAATTTTGCCCGGTCCGGGTATCAAACCCACTAAGGCAGCGTTTTTCAAATTCCACGCCAAAGAGTCGCGGGTACCAGCTAGTATTACATATAAATTACACCCGAAGTGGTAACAAGTAATCGTACTCATTATAAAATTATCTTTCCTGTGTGTGAAGCGAAAATCGATTTAAGTGGCGTGCAAAGGGAGAGGCCTATGTCCAGCAGTGGACTGCGATCGATAGGCTGGTAATGATGATGATAATGTGTGAAGCGAACTCACGACTGCTGGCTTAGCAGTCAGGGGCACTAACCACCAGACCAGCAGGCCAGTGGAAATAAAATAAAAAATGACATGATAATAGCAAGATAATCGAGAATATTATTTTTGCAGTGATCAATTTTATTCAAATCTTCTAAATGCAATGATGCATTTTTATCATGTCCGTATGGATTGAGGAGCCACTTCAGATTTTAAACGGTAACTCATCCCTTATCAAATAGGTGAACAAATAATTGTGTAGGACAAATCCTGAAATTCAAAGTGATATCAATGTAAAAGTGGTTCCTTACGGAAAGTATTCAATGAATATTTTTGAAATTTTTGTATCATTTAGTAGTAATTGTGTATAGTGCCCACTAAAAATCAAGATTCAAAAATATACAATACTTTTAAAGTGGCTCCTCAATCTATATTTAAGGTCGTTAATTGCCATGAAAGTAATACGTCAAAATTTATATTCCACTCCAAAAACATTTAGTAGCAAGTGTGTTTGAATTTTTATCATCAGGAGAAAGTAGTAAAACTGAGGGGGTTTAGTAAATAAAGGCACGTTATTTGGCTCCTTAATCCTGACGTTCTGCATAATAAATTATCGACTGTATATGAGATCACAACAGAAACAAAAACCAGAGATACTAACATTTAGTATAAATTTCTAGTAAATAAATATGTACAGGTCAACGTTGTATATATTACTTTTTGATATTCTTTATGAATTCGCTATTTAAGATGACCATGTCCAAATGTGAAATCACATTATAGTTTTTGAAATTTAATTTTCAACAAATCAACAATTATCGAAAAATAGAAATGTAAAGAAATTCTTCAGTTATAAGTATTTATTAATCAATTTGGACATAACTTTTACAATGATTAATATTGGTTTGTCCGTATATAGGAAATAGATAAAAATAGTATGGTAAATAGATTTGTGTACGAAACGAAACGAAATTAAATATTAAGAGAATTCACTCATTTTTAATTACTGACTCTATACTCTACAAATTTAATACACTTACCTACTACTAAATAATAAAGAATTTGGCCATCGATTGATAGACTGTTCTTTAAAAAATGACAGTCGTTTCTATGGTCTGAAGAGCCATATAAATTATGTATGGTAACTATTTTAATTTTGACATTACTGAGCTCAGATTTTGTCTACTAACTACTCTCAAATACTAAAAAATCATACTATTCCTAGTTCTGTCCTGTCTGTCCTAGTCATTTTTTATTGATACCAAATTTGATTATTATCCTTACATATTATAAAATGCAGTCCCCCAGCCGCATCTGTCTATCTGAATGAACGCGATAAACTCAAAAACCTCCGAACGGATTTTTGTACAGTTTTCACCAATGGATAGTATAATTTTATTCATGAAGGTTTTATGTAAATTGACTGAAATATAACGATTTTTTGGGAAGAGATCGCAAAATCACTGAATCAATCAGGGCGCCAATTCAGCTATTTTAATAATGTGTAAATAGACTGTCAATGGACTGTCATCGCAATAGTTTTGAACTTTTCGTATTCTACTAACTATGTCGTAGACCAATGCCCCTCCGATAATTTGTCACTAAAATGTCGTCGATGTCTTTGTAGTAGTTTGGTAAATGGTTGATTTTAAATTTGTAAGGAAATGGTATATTTAATTTTACAGAAGTGGCAATGTTGATGATATCACCATTGATGAGCCATTATCATTACATCGACGGTTTATTGACACTGTAAAATGTTATCAGAATAGTGATATTTTGACCGATGTCAATGGCATCTTAATAGCGTGCCAACTGAATGACAGAAGCTTTTACATTAACATAAAATAGCAGAATTGAGGCCCAGGGTCTTTGATAAGTAGATAAGTGTTACTGACTTGAATGCGCCTACAGCATGATGAATTGTAATAAACAGCATTCTTCATTCCTTAATTTTAAACCCTTATACACTATATGTTCTACAAAAAGGTAAATATAGGTATTAAGTTCTATTCAAAAAATAAGAATTTTTACAAATTGGTGCATAGATGACGGAATTCTGAAGTAACAAATATAATATAAAAAAGGCTGAATTGAGAACCACCTCTTTTTTTTAAGTTAAAACAAGAGATTTTTGGTTTAGCTGGTTCGTATCCTGTATAATATGAATATAAATATCCAAATTAACAAATTAGTTACAATATTAATATTAGTTATGGTAGGTCAAAACCTCTTTTCTAAGCTCTTCTTAGAAAAGAGGTTTTGACCTACCTTGTCTATGTCCTGTGTGACTATTAAAGGCTGTTGAAGATGATGATATTATTCAACAATCACAACAAAAAACATAAAATAGGTTTCTTTGTCAAAAGTAAAATGATTAAAACAATAAATACATAAATAAGATCGCTATCTGCCTGAGTCAATATCTAACCGCACGATTCCAAATAGTTGAGCCTTGTGAGACGAAATCGGCAAAACTCACGGCCACTGTTAAATCACAAATTTTAAAATATTTAGTAAAATGTAATAAAACACTGTTTTATTGAGCGCTAATATATACTTAATATTAAAAGTAAGTAAACTAAAATTTAGCTATTAACACAGCAAATAGGGCAGCTGAACAGGAAATCAGATAAACTTAAATTAAAGTGGCATCATCAACATCATCATCAACAGCTTTTAAACAGAAATGAAAAAAAGAAATATACTTATTATCTCCGTTATATTTCTACTGAGTATTGGAAATAACCTGTTGAATCCGAAAATAAATTAATAATGTCTAATCTACATTTCGCGTAACAAATTATTTTTTATTTAAGGTTCGTTAGAACACTAAGGTTCAGAATAGGAATTACCCTTAAATAAGCAGTAAATAGCAGTAGACTATTAAAGGCTTTGATGAAATAAACAGTAATCATGACATCCGATAAAATATTCAAAGTCGCCTACGTAAATGATTTCAACTAAGAAATGTCTTAACAATCTGTATAAGTAAAAGAAACCTTTTGAATTGTTAATATTTCATTCCTAATTTAAAGTAGACACAGTCTCGCTTGTTTTAATTAAAATAACGCACAGTTGAAAAAAAAAAGAATTGAAGCTCACTTTTGGCCTTGGTTCTAATCACTTGCCAGACAGACTAGACGGACAACGACTGACATGCACTTGGCGGTATTTGCATATTTCGAAGGTTGCTTATTTTATATACAGTTTTTAATCTCAAACTTACAAGTTAGACTAAATTACAACTATTTTTATCATTCTGGTAATTTTACATAATGATTAAATGCGACATTGCATCTACGAATCATCAAAATTAATTGAATAATATCTAAAGTAAGAAA